AGTCCACCGAAAGCGGGACCTCCACCTGAAGATGATCCTAATGAAGAAATCTCTTCTCCCAGGGTCAGACAAGGATGACCATAGGTCCTCCGGAAAGTGCTCACCAATGTGGTCTGAACCATCAAGGAGCACGGCTCCATCTGCCTCAGAAAAGAGGAAGAGAGCCTCGACCTCTGCACTGCTGGAACCATAGAAAAAGAAACAGTCCCTTGCATGGTCTCTACCTCCGGTGCTGGTGGCTAAGAGTGAGTATATTCGACTCTCCCGGCACCTCTGGCACCAGCCGTGCCGCAGAGCCGAAAGACAAAAAGGAGGAGTCGAGACATAAGCTGCCACATGTCTCTTCCATGGCACCGACAACTGTGCTGGCACTGACCATGCTGCCACCCCCGGTACTGTCCACATCGTTACCATCGACATCTGCCTTGGCACTGACACCAGGGCCAGCACCACCAAGGACACGGCACCGACCAAATTGAACCACAAGTCTCCTGGTAGACAAAACGATTTGATGGTACCGACACCATCGGTACCGCAACACTTCCTCACGCACGCTGACATCACCATGTCATCGCTACCACAGTCACCCCTTCTCAGCACCTACATCTGTTAAGACACGTAGCTGCCACCACATACATGGTAAAGCACGCCAGGCTACACATGCGGTGCCTTCAAAGCTGGCTGAACTCACCAAACACAACATACATAGACTAGTCAAACCACCCCCCAAGGTCCTGCATTCTTTCAGATGGTAGGCGACATCAGCAAATCTAACGACAGGTATTCCCTTCCAGCAAACCCCAACCTCAGTACTGATCACAACAGACGCATCTCTGTTGGGTTGGGGAGCACACTTAGACCACCACACAGCACAAGGCAAGTGGTCACCAGCCGAAACATACCTCCACATAAATCTCCTGGAACTCAGAGCAGTGAGAAATGCCTGCCATCACTTCCTCCCTCTAATAAGGAACAGATCCATCCGAGACATGACAGACAACGTAGCGTGCATGTTCTACATCAACAGACGAGGGGGGGGAGGGGTGATCCCACTCCCTCTGCACCAGAGTCATGATGCTATGGGACTGGTGCATCTGCTACAATATAGACCTCTCAGCCTCTTATCTTCCTGGATGCCAAAACACCACTGCAGACACCCTCATCAGAAACTTCTCATGGGAACACGAATGGGAAATGAACCCCACAACCCTCCACAGAATATTCAGACGTTGGGGGTTCCCTTCCGTCGACTTATTTGCCATGTCCCAGAACCGCAAATGAATCCGGTTCTGTTCCAGAGCAGGACTTGGCCCCCGATCCTTAGGGGATGTCTTTCTAATCCGGAGGGACACCTCACTTATGTATGTGCTCCCACCAATACCTCTACTCCACAGAGTCCTACGCAAAATACAGGAAGACAACTCCACAATCATTCTGATTGCCCCAGCGTGGCCCAGACAAACCTGGTACCCTTACCTGTTGTGTCTGTCGATCTGTCTGCCACAGACTCCCCCGGTAACACGAGATCTTCTGTCGCAGGACAATGGACAAGCCCTACATCCACAATTAGAGAAGCTTCATCTGAAAGCATGGTTCCTCCATGGTTCCACAAACGCGAGCTAATTGTCCCATTCGTGTTCAGAACAAGTGAAAAATATTTTACTAAACAGCAGATGCAAATCTACATGCACTACTTATCTGCAGAAATGGAAGTGTTTCTCCATGTGGTGTTCAAACAAACAGATCGCTACATGTACCGCACCATTACCGACGGTACTAGACTATTTGGCTGAATGGAAGAATTCAGGACTATCACTAAGCTTTATCAAAGTTCGCCGCACAGCGCTTAATACTTTCTATGACAAAATCGAGGGGGTTTCAGTTTTCACACACCCTATTACAAAGCGCTTCATGATTGATCTACAAAACCTCTATCTGGAAGTACATTCTCCCATCCCCATGTGGGACCTGAACTTAGTACTCAAGGGCCTCATGAGACCTCCATTTGAACCAATGGTTACCTGCTCCTTACTTCATCTGTTCATGAAGGTGGCTTTTCTAGTGGCCACTACCTCCACTAGACGAGTTAGCGAGCCAGCCCACCCTACACCATCTTCTTTTAAGGACCAGGTAATGTTATGACCCCATCCAAAATTTCTCCCCAAAGTGTCCCAACTTTCCATATCAACCAACTCATTCACCTTTCCACATTCTATCCCAAACTGCGCATATGCTCACAGAATGCAGCACTAAATAAATAAATAAATAAATGGAGATATCCTATCTCCTAGAACTGGAAGGGACCTTGAAAGGTCATCGAGTCCAGCCCCCTGCCTGCACTAGGAGGACCAAGTACTGATTTTGCCCCAGATCCCTAAGTGGCCCCCTCAAGGATTGAACTCACAACCCTGGGTTTTAGCAATCCACTGCTGAAACCACTGAGCTATCCCTCCCCCTAGATGTCAGACGGGCAATAGCCTTTTACCTGGATAGGATGAGATCTTTCCGAAAATCACCGAGACTTTGTCTCGACAATGAAACAATCCAAAGGATCAGCAATATCCAAACGACTTTCGAAATGGATATCAAACTGTATTCGTCTATGTTACGGAACAAAGGAAATAGAACCCCGTACAGGCATCAGATCCCATTTCACACATGCCATGGCAATTTCCATGGCTTTTCTTCACAATGTACCCATTTCAGAAATTTGCAAAGCTGCCACTTGGGCGTCAGAACATACCTTTACCAATCACTACGCAATTACACAATTCTCCAGGGATGATGCCATATTAGGCCTTTTAGTCCGCTCTACTTCATTAGCCACGTACCTCCAAAGTCCCCCCCCCCCATCCATGATGGGTACATTCACCTGTAGTGCAGCACCCACAGGGACAGCACTTGAAAAAGAGAGGGTTAATCACCTTGTGCAGAACTGAGGTTCTTTGAGATGTGTCCCCCTGTGGGTGCTCCACTACCCACACTCCTCCCCTCTATTTTGGAGTTTGATACGAGGATTCTATGGTAGAGAAGGAACCGAGGGGTGCGGGCCGCGTGCGCGTGCTCAACCAGACAGACAGGCGCCACGAGACAGCTGGAGTGCGCGCGCCTCCTGACCAACCACTGCTATGGAAAAGCCTCCGATCAACGGCACCGGGACCGTCACCTGAAGTGGAGCACCCACATGGGGACACATCTTGAAGAACCTCAGTTACTACACAAGATGAGTAACCTTCTCTTCACAATCATTATTATTGAGTACAGTATTAAATTGTTTAAAACTTATTCTGTATATGTATATAATGTCTTTTGTCTGGTGAAAAAACTTGCCCTGGAACTTAACCTCCCATATTTACATTAATTCTTATGGGAAAATTGGATTCACTTAACATCATTTCACTTAGTCTCATTTTTCAAGAACATAACTACAACGTTAAGCGAGGAGTTACTGTACATTTAACAAAGTTATTGTGAACTTCTTATATACACACAGACTAAAGTGTTCAAAAACCTATATTTAGATACCTAAGAGTGGGGCTTTTAAAAAAAGACCTAAGTGACTTTGAAGTCAATGGGTCTTTTGCTCCTAACTACAAACCTGATGAAATATATAGTCTGGTCAAAGCATTTCACCTTTTTGGACTTGGGATAGTTAAAAATATCAGGTGGTGGGGGCTGCAAATAAAGCATGTGCTGTTCACTTATAAATTTTGTTTCTGGTGTTTTTACAGTAAGGATGTTAATGAGGCCTTGGTCTTTTTCAGCATAGATGAACCTTTCAAGTGAAACTTCTTAGTAGAAGAAAACAGTCTTTTAAAAATCTGAAATTCTAGTGACAATTAGGAGATTAAAGAAACATATACAAATAATTTGCTTGAGTAATTTGACAGATATTTCTTTTTCTTCCAGTTTTATAATCTATGAATACAAAAATCTGATTTAAACTTGAATTCAACTTCATTAAAAAAAATCATTGTTATCCACCCATAAATAAATGATGTTGAGTTTGTTCATAATTAAAACAATGACATAATTCCGTGGATTGGCCCATCATTATCAGAGAAATTCCATGGCCTCTTGACTCAACACTTTTTTTTTCCCCATCCAAATCTCTGCTTCCTTCCTTCAACCAAAATTTGTGCTAGATACATAATACAAATCTTACCTACGAAGATTCCCACTTACGGACTTTCTTTCATTATGGGCTAACTTTCATTTTGAGTACCTGAAGTATTCCACTGAGAGGTAATTGCATTTAGAGCTCTGATCGAACGCTTCAAATGAAGGAGCTGCCCTGTAACACCTTTGAGCAAGTGGCGCAATTTTGTCTTTGTTCCTTCTCTTTGTGCTATTCTGTTTTTAGTTTTTTTGTTTTTATAGTTGAATTAGGGAAAGCTGAGGACCTCAGTATTAGACACTGCTAAATACAAGCTTTTAAATCTTGTGTATTGCATGGAGTGAATATGCCCTCTTCTGACCAGGGCATGTCTCCATTTCTTTAATAATAAATAATCTACAGTGGTAATGTATTTGGAGGACATGAGCTACTAAGTAACATTCCTTCATTTTTAATAATAAAAAGGGGTGTTTGTGCCTCCCATATATGCTTCCTCAGCACTAAAGTTGCTGTCTGTATTGTCCTCTTCTCCCTAAAAAATGATAGATAAATAAATAAGGATGAAAGGGAGCTGAGAAACAGGCACTCTTGCCATGATTTTGCCCTTCCTAATTGCACATCTGTGTAGATCTGAGCTAGTGAGAGACAATACCTCTTTCTGCTTTTCCTATTTTAAAATTAAAACACTTTAATACATAGACTAGCTTGACCTAAAATAATTTTATCTCTTGTCTAAGTAGTTTTATTGTATTTATACAGACTAAAAAAGTCAATTTTCTTTTGTAAAAGACATAGTGGAATAAAACTGGCTGCCTTTCTCAAATGTATTGAATGTAGCATGTGAAATGTATTTCATGCATTAACATTGGTTTTGCTTTGACAGTTACTGAGTTACTTTCACAAACAAAGTAAAGTTCGTCAGGGAGTTGAAGAAATGCTGTACAGATTGTATCAACCTATCCTTTGGAGAGCATTAAAGGTAATTCTCCTTTACTGGATAGCCTCAAATTGCAGTTGGTGTAACATTCACATTGATTTTTTTTCTTTAAAATGTTACAATTTTTAATAGTTGTATTAAAACAAAATGTCTATGAAAATGGGGTTCTGTACAACTTGGAGCTTAATTGTATCCGAAGTGGCTTTAAAGGATGGAGAACTAAAAGGAATGGGGCCTCATATAATTGTATCGTATACAGGTTCTTATACTATGCTCATCACTGGCACTTACACTGTGCCTTCCACTAGTGCATTAAGCAGTGTGACTAAAAGCTTTCACGTTTGTTCTCTCATCCTCTTCCCAGAGGTAGAAGTGTTTGCAGTGGATTGTCTTGTTTTGGAATTTTTAAACATATCTATATATACAAATATTGCAATGTTTGTTTCAAAGATTGAGGCAGAAGGGGCTATTGTGATAATCTAGTCTGACCTGCATAGCATAGGCCATTATATTTCCCTGAATTACTTCCTGTTTGAACTGGAGCATATCTCTTAGAGTAAGTCTATAGTGCACTTTTCTTATGGGGGCATATAGAATACCTACATGGCTAGCTTCCCCCTAAGATGGGTATAAAAAGCAATGCCTCACTATCTACAGTGCTATGGTGAGTAAAGGCACGCCTGAAGCCTGTGGGTCTATACCCAGGCATATTCCCTACATGGCTCTCACAAACAGTCCTTCCTTGTCTAGTATCTCCCTGCCTCCCCACTGTTGGAGGCTTCCCCCGCTATAGAGAGGGACTGGAAGTTGGGAAAGGTTCTATCAATGACGAGGCAGTGAGGAAAGGCTCCACCAGCTCCCCGCTTCTGGAGCCTTCATCTGCTGTAGAGAAAGAATCCAGCAGCAAGAAAGGGCTGTGGCAGAAGGGAGGCAGCAGGAAAGGGCTTGAGTAGCAGACAACTGCTTTCCCCCTGTCAGATCTAGGGATGTAAATAACATGTAAAAGCAGTAACCGTATAACCTATTGGTTAAATGTTTAACCAGGGAGCTAAGGGTGTGTGTGGCGGTGCTACAGCACCCCCACATTTTACCCGGGGAGCCGGGATCCCCGGGCACGGGGCCTGCAGCCAGGATCCCCCAGCTGTGCAGGGCGGCAGAGGCGTTTAACTGTTAAGCTTGATACTTACTGGTTTCAGTTATCGGTTAACCGATTAAACTTTTACATGCCTAGCTAGAACCTTTCCCTGACAAGTGTAGCTATGCACTGTGGTATGGATGCAGCCTGCTTTTCGCTGTGATGTGTAGCTACATGTACCTTACACAGTGCTGACAGCAATGTGCAGTGTACAGGTAACTTTAGAAAAGCATCCAGACCTCATTTTTAGAAATTTCAAGTGATGGAGACTACATCATAACCCTTGATAAATTGCTCCAGTGGTTAATTACCCTCACTGTTAAAAATTGGCACCTTATTTCCAGTCTGAATTTGTCTAGCTTCAGCTTCTAGCCATTGGCTCTTCTTATACCATTGTCTGCTAGATTGAACAGCCCACATAAACATTTCTGTGGATATTATAGACTTTGATTTAGTCACCCCTTAATCTTTTCTCTTTAAGATGAAAAAGATTGAGGTCCTTGAATCTTTCTTTACAAGTGGGCTAGAATTCGATTTTTATTTTTTAATGATGTCAACAGATATAATTGTTTTTAAAGCATGCTTTATTTTTAATAATTTTTAAATTTTCACAGTTGCAGGAAATTAATGGTGGGGGGAGTCAGAATAATTATTACTGGCAGTAGACATTGAGATTCAAACATTTAGAGCTTTATAACTATTGAAACACAAATTGTCAACATCGCTTGTCAAAATATACGAAGTAAAAATGCTTAAATCAGAGTTCTCAAGCAGCATTTTTTGTACTTTGCCTATCTGTAAATTTTGTTTATTGATGAAAATATTTTTTCATTGGTTTGTGTGTATGATGAAAATAACACTTATCCAAGCTTCAATTTTTATTGGGGTGTTTTCAAATAATTTAATCATTCTCCTGGATCGTCTCTGAACTTTCTCCAATCTTTCAAAAATTCTCCTTGAACACACTATTCCAGTAGCACTTGCACTAATACCAATATAGAGGTAATAGAACCTCCCTACTCCTACTTGCTATTCCCCTGTTTATACATCTAAGGATTGCATTAGCCCTTTTGGCCACAATGTCATTCTGTCATGTTCAGCTAATTCTTCTTTAAATAGCATCCCTGTGTGTGATTCACATCAGGATGCGTGTGCGCCTGTGCACTCTGGATTGGAGAGTTTCATCAACAGTGTCTGTGCCTGTGCTGTAGACACCCTCATGCTCCAGGATGAAGGAATATTGGGAAATGCAGACCTGCCACCACTCCAGTTCCTCTTTGAGTGACTAGCTGCAGATATGTATTCCACTCAGGTGTGCGTACACCATGCACACTGAAGCCAGAGAACGTTGCTAAGCAGTACCTGCCAGGGCAGCACTCGTGCCTTCTGTCCCTCATAGCCCCTCCCATAGCTATTTACGGGCGGCACTGCCCTGACCCTCCTCGCTTCCTTCTCACCGTCTGCAGCTTAAGGCGGAGTGTTCTGTGTGGTATTTACCTCACCCTTTTCTTGTTAACTCAGAGTTTTCTTCTTCTTGTTTTGGTATATAGTTAGTATTAGTACCTTAGTGTTAGATTAGTTAGTTTGATAGTTTGTTTTTGCCTGGTGTAATGCATTCACTGGGTTTCAAGCATTATCCCTTGTTTGCTGGGAGTTTATAGCCCAGTGATAGATGTTTCCACGAGGGTCAGCAATAATAGTAGCAACAATACCGACAGTATTCCCAGAAGTATTTCCGGCAGTCAGATTATCCACTTTAGAGCGAGATCTCAAAGGAGAAGGCCTTCCAATTTCAGCCAGCTGGCCCATCCTTCATCAGCTTTCTGCAGGCAGCCAATACACTGACTTGCATCTTTGCTTCTTTGCCTGTTGTTAGGTGGCTACATAGTATACTTCTGAGGGCATTCTACACCAAAAAAAAATTAAAAATTCTGCGCACAATATTTTAAGATTGTGCAAAATTCTGTAAATTTTATTTGTCATATAAATGTAGAGGCTCCAGCATGGCATTGGGGAGCACAGACCACTGGCTGCATAGAGGTGGGAGATCATTGTGCAGCTCCCATCCAGGACACGGACTCAGCGGTGAGGCTGCGCCCAACCCTAGCACAGTGCAAGGTCCAGGCCTATCCCAGGGCCCTGCTCCTCCATGCCAGGTGAACCAGGTGTGGGCAGGCAGGCTCAGCAAGGCAGGATCCAAAAGTGGAGGGGCTTAATGTGGGGGGATCCAGGTGTGGGTTGAGAGGGTTCTGTGGAGCAATCTGGGTGCAGGCAGCTAAGTGGGGAATCCAGGTATGGGGAGGATCTGGGTGCACAGGGGTTTGTTGGGGGGGGGTTCTGGGTGCAACAGTGATGGGACTCTGCAGGGGCGTCCAGGTGAAGGGGGGGGTTGAGTGTGGGGGGGATAGAGCTCAGCAGGGGGGTCTGGGTGTGAGGGGCCTAGTGGGTGATCTAGATGCTGGGGGAGTGGGGCTCAGTGGGGTTGGGATCCAGGTGTAGCTGGTTGTGGCTCGGTGGGGTGGGAATCCGTGTGCAGGTGGCTCAATGGGGTAGTCCAGGTGCAGGGGGAATGGGCCTCATTGGGAGAGGGGTCTGAGTGCGGGAGGGGTGAGGCTTGGTGGGAGGGTCTGGATATGAGGGGGCCTGGATGCATGGGGGTTGGGTGGCTGGGGGAGCAGCTCCCTGTACAGGGATCCCTCCCCCTGCAGCTGAGGAACAATGGGTGCAGGAGTTTGCAGAGCTTCCTGCATTTGGGGGAGAAATCTGGGGGTGGCCCCGGATGCCATGCAGGGGAAGAGGAAGTCGCATACTGCACAGCCAGGACTAGCAGCTGAGCCCGGTGCAGGGTAGTAGCCACCAGCCAGGTCTTCCCCAGTCCTGTCTCCTGCCCCACAGTGATTTACATCTCTGCTGGCTGCCCTGGGCACCTGAAACATACTGCTGGGGATAGTCGCATGACCACTTTTTGTGGCTTCCCTTTGCTTCCCTGTCAGAAAGTCATTTTTCTGTGGGGAAGCAAAGAAAGCTGCAGGGGACATAAATTCTGCACATGCACAGTGGTGCAGAATTTCCCAGGAGTAAAAACTGTATTATCCGGCACTTAATCAACCAGGAAGCTCTATTAACCGGCATTTCTGATATCTCCCAATACAAATCTTCAATCTAGTAACCGGGACTAGTATACTGCCCAGGAGGTGAGGCAATTGCACATTCTGCACTCTTTTTTATGCAAAAGAGGCAGAAGACAATAAGCAAGCTGATATCAGGGATTTATTCAAAAAAGCAGCTTCCAGGGTTTGTCACTGGGCTGAATCTGTCATGATCCTATCTCCTGCACCATCTACATCTATGATGAGAATTGATGTTGATAATGATGACACTGAGGCACTGCAAGATCCTGAAGTGCCTTCTGAGTCATCAAAGAAAGATTAAATTATGGTCAGTATAGTTTTAGTGTTAAGTGTATTTTTAGTGATCTGGGTGTATGCCATGCACTGCCCATAGTGATATGTAGTGTCATAAGATAACCTACTGTATAGAAAATTTTACCTGTATACACCTAAGTGCTTCAAGAAACCAACCGTTCTACAGTGCAGTACTACTACTGGATTGGTGAGTACCTGTATACTATTTTATTCTTTATTGATTTTATTGTATTCTAATTCTTTGAAAATTGGTATTCCATTGGTAAGTGTAAGTCTTAGTTAACAGGCATTTTTTGATTAACCACGCCCCCCATTCTCCCCCAACATGCCGGATAACAAATCTTTTACTGTACTTGGTTAGGTTAAGTGCATTCATCAAACTATTAATGTCAAATTCCTTGTGCTGTGTGTGTGTGGTGATGCACAGATCATCTACATAGATAAAGCATCTTTTTCTGGGGTTGTTTGTGTAGATGTTGTAT